AGAAATGGAGACTGATAGAGACAAAGACAAGAACAAAAAGGGGTCTGCAAAAGGGCCTGGCCAAAACTCCCAGAACTCTCAAAGAGCCATAACACAGTCAAAAAACCCTATGGAAGTGATGGACTCACTGGAGAAGAGGGTTCAGAGTGTGATTCAGGGTATGAAGAGTGATGGAAATATCAAAAAAACTATTCAGAAGAATCTGCCTGGAGAAAATATTGGTGTTCAGTTGCTTGAACAATTCAATGAAGAATCTGAAGAGGAAGGATCAACAGAAATACCAATCCAGCAGACAGCTCAAGGGAGACAATAAAAAAATTGGGGCCCTATTGTGGCGCCCAGGATGAGCACTAGGATCAGAAGAGATGGGAGGACAGCAATCCAAAAAGCTGAGGACCTCAAGAAGAGAAAAGATCTGGAAATGCCTAAAGGTAACATAAATTGCAACTCATTCTCTACTTTTAATGATGAGGAGTTGTTATCAAAAGCCAGGAAGGTTGGTCTTAATTTGGGTGATGATGTTGAAACTATTTCACACAATATACAGGCCATTAGGCTGATTGAGAATGATAGGTTATCTAGCTTTAAAGAGTCACATCCTGAATGTTTTCTCCCTGTTAACTTAGATATTAGTTTTGAGGGGGGTAACAAGGAAAACTCACCAAATGTAGGACCTAGCTGTGCTCACAGTAGTGATGCAGCAGGTAATATCCCTACTTGGGCTGAGGTGGTGTCAGGTAAAAAAGTAGCCATAGAAAATTGGAATTTAATAATGGCAGTAGGACTGATATGGAATGTTAGAGGGCTTAACAAGCCTGATAAACTAAGTGTAGTGGGGAAACTCATTAGAGACACCCATGCTGACTTGATAGGATTTTCTGAATCTAAGAAAGAGACTTTTACTAGCTTTCAGATTAAATCTTTAGATCCAAATGAGGAGTTCACTTGGAATTGGATGCCAGCTACTGGCACAGCAGGTGGCATCTTGGTGGGTATCAGACATGATGATTATGAGATCCTGTCTGTGGATATCCTCCAGTACTCTGTGGCCTGCTTAATTAAAAATAAAAAGGATGGTAATGTGTGGAGATTTATTATAGTGTATGGAACTGCTTATGATAATTTTAAAGTAGATTTTATTAATGAACTCCACAATACTATGGAGGCCTGGCTGGGTCCTACTATTATTGGTGGGGACTTCAACTTGGTGAGAAATGGGGATGAGAAAAGTACTGGAGTTGTTAATTTGCATTGGGTGGCTCTGTTTAACGATTGGGTCAATAAATATGGCCTAATTGAATTAAAGAATTATACTAGGAAGTTCACCTGGGCCAACAACCAGGATATTCTGGTGATGGCTAATATTGATAAAGTGTTTATTTCCACTTGTTGGGAGAGTTTATTCCTGGCTGTGCAACTAAATGTCCTGCCTAGGGTGGGGAGTGATCATACCCCCCTAGTTGTGGACACTGGAGCCATTAAACCACCAAAAGATAAACAATTTAGATTTGAAAAGTGGTGGCTCCAGGTAGAGGGATTTGTGGAGATGGTTAAAAACACTTGGAACAAACCTTGTTCTATTTTAGATCCTATGGATAGATGGCAGTTTAAGATTAGACTGCTTAGAAGAGTTTGTAAAGGCTGGAGTGCCAACTATGAGGCCTCTAAGAATAGGAATAAGCAACAGCTAGTGGCTGAATATAACCTTTTGGACATAGAGTCAGAAACAAAAGTGCTCTCTCCACCCTCTAAAGCTAAGATGGATAAGATTGCCCTAGATCTCCAAGATATTTGGAGGTTAGAGGAGGTTAAATCTAGGCAAAGATCTAGAGAAAGAAATATATTGGAGGGAGGGAGGAATACTGCTTACTTCCATGCTTTGGCAAATCAAAGAAGGAGGAAGAAGCAGATCGGTGTGTTAAAAGGCCCAGATGGACCTGTAGAGGATACCAAGATTATTATAAACATTGCTGTAGATTACTACAAGCAACTATTTGGTAGGGAGGAAACCCTGGATATTACTTTAGATGATGACTTTTGGGACCCTTCTGAAAAGGTTTTTAATGAGTATAATAGGAAATTAGAAGCTAATATTACTGAGGAAGATGTCAGGGCAGCTGTCTTTGGGTCCTATGCTGAAGGAGCCCCTGGGCCTGATGGCTTCCCATTCCTCTTCTATCAACAATTTTGGGACACTATTAAGGGTGACCTAATGCTGTTGGTGGATGCTTGGAACAATGATTCCTTAGATCTTTATAGATTAATATTTTCTCTGTTAACATTGATTCCTAAAGAGTCTGATGCTGATATTATTCAGAAATTTAGGCCTATTGCTCTAACAAACTGTAGTTTTAAGATTTTTGCTAAATTCCTGGCTAACCAGCTAGGTGATATTGGGGATGAGATTATTTCCCAAAATCAAACAGCTTTTATTAAAGGGAGATACATAGTTGAAAGTGTGGTGACAGCTCATGAGATAATTCATGATGCTGTAACCAACAGTAGGGAAGGGTTTGTATTCAAGCTTGATTATGAAAAAGCTTATGATAGAGTCAGTAATTCCTCCTGAAAATCATGTATCAAAGAGGGTTTAGTCCCAAATGGATGAAGAAGGTGGAATCTCTGTTATATAAGAGTTCAGTAGGGGTTAGAATAAATGATTGTAATAGTGTGTTTTTTGAAACCTTTAAGGGAGTCAGGCAGGGGGGTCCTGCTTCTCCGATGCTCTTTAATCTAGTGGGAGATGTATTCAGTAGAATGCTCAATAAAGCTACTAGTAAGAATATGTTGACAGGGATGATGAGTAACATCTTCCCTCAAGGAATAATTAGCTTGCAGTATGCAGATGATACTCTTTTGTTTGTAGAAAATAATTTGGAGTCTACAAAGAATTTAAAATGGTTACTTGCTTGCTTTGAGCAAATGCCTGGTCTAAGGATCAACTTCCATAAGTGTGATCTGGTTCCCATTAATGTTGATGAGGAGGGTATCCAATGTGTTGCCCAAGCTTTTTCTTGTGGGCTGGGATCTTTTCCTTTGAAATATCTAGGATTCCCCCTCCACCACTCCAAATTAAGGAGAGAGGATTTGCAACATGTGGTTGATAAAGTCCTGAAAAAGGCAGTTGGATGGAGGGGGAGATTGCTAGGCTATGAGAAGAAGCTGATTCTAGTTCAATCTTGCTTAGCTAGCATCCCTACCTATCTCATGAGTATGATCAAATTCCCTAAATGGGCTATTAATTTGATCAACTCTCAAATGGCCCACTGTTTTTGGGATAACTATGAGGGTCACCATAAGTACCACCTAGCTAGCTGGGGTCTATTGAATAAAAAAACAGTATGGTGGTATGGGGATCCCAAACATTGCTGACATGAACCTTTGCTTACTTGCTGCTTGGGTGGACAAGTATCAAAGAGGTGAACAAAAAATATGGAAGAAAATTGTGGATGCCAAATATAGGACTAGTAATCCTAATATTCTTTCTTGCCCTGAGAGCAGTGCCTACTCCCCCTTCTGGAAAGGAGTCCTTTGGGCTGCTAAAGCAGCAAAGATGGGCTACCAATGGAAAGTGGGGAATGGTAGGAAAGCTAAATTTGGGAAGATCACTGGTTTGGGTCCTGTAGCTTATCCATTCAATTTTGGGAGTTGTATAGTATTGCCAATGAGCACAATAAAACTATTGCTGAGGTTTGGGATGGAACAAATCTTAAGATTTCTTTCAGAAGATGTGTACACAATAGGCTGCTGCATCTTTGGTTTGATTTGTTGAGTATTGCGCAGTCAGTTATTCTAAACGATGATGATGATGCTATTATTTGGAAACTTGAGCATAATGGGAGATACTCAGTGAGATTCCTGTATGCCATGATAAACTTTAGGGGAATTACCCCTGTGCATATTCCAAAAGTTTGGCAACTGTATGTCCCACCTAACATTCATATTTTCCTGTGGTTACTTGCTCAGGATAAATTGCTAGTTAGGAGCAACCTGAACAAGAGGCGGCACTTAGATGATCTTAGTTGCTTATTTTGTTGTGAAAAGGAGACTAGTAGCCACCTTTTCTTTGACTGTGTTGTGGCTGTAGAAGTGTGGAAAAAAATCATGAGGTTGTGGGATGTATGCCCCAGCCTGGATTTAATTTTGTGATTGACAAATGGGAGAAACATAAATCCCTGCAAGTTGAGAATATGTTTGTCTCAGGTGCTCTCTGGGCTATCTGGAGATGTAGAAATGACATGTGCTTTAACAATTCCCCATGGTTGGGAGTGCAGGTGATCCTGAGGAGAATTGCAGGATTCTGCAACCAATGGAAGATACTGTGCAAAGAGGCTACAAGAGAGCGCGTGGAGAATCTAACATCATCTCTGTGGGAGCTGTCCAGGCGGCCGCCTCTGCTGCTCTGGCCAGAGCCAGGATGAGCAAGAAGGAACTGTGGGTGAAATACTATCAGAAGAAGAAGACGGAAGGATGGTGCGGTATCGAGGGAGGGCTACTCATGGCAGGATGAAAAGAGATGATGGAGACCAGTTCCAAGCCTCCCCGACTGTTGGCATTAGCCTTTTAAATTCTTGTCAGTAGACAGTTGAGTAGCTGGAGAGTGTATGAGGTTTGTAGCAGGGTCAGGATGGATTTTTATGCCGGAGAGCGCTAAAACCTATCCCGCGGGCTGTAATGAGACTAGATTCTGTGGTTTCATTTTAAGTAATGGAACCGGGGCAGGAGTCCTTTTCCTCTAAAAAAAAGTTCAATGTCAGTTTCATCGACGAGGCGGAGAAGCACAAGCCAATGTACATTTCGGAAACTGGAACATTCAATTTCTACTCTGAGTCCATGATGGGCTACAACATGTTCATGAAAAAAGATGTCCTTGAACAATCATCGCATCTAATGAATGATTGTTTCACCATCCAGTGTGACATCATGTTGTTCAGCTCCAAGGATGCCGGTGGCGATAAGGTGCCCCTGCCTGAAATAGACCAACATTTAAACAATCTCCTTCAAACTAAGGTGGGTGCTGATGTGACATTCGAGGTCAGCGGCGAGATGTTCGCTGCACATCGATGTGTGCTTACAGCCCGATCTAAAGTCTTAATGGCACAACTCTTTGGCCCCATGAAGGAGGGCACTACTACATCCTGTGTCATACAGATCAAAGACATGGAAGCAAAAGTGTTCAGGGCTCTGCTTAGCTTCATCTACACAGACTCACTCCCTAAGATGGAGGATGACAACATGGAGGAGGACGAAACAGATGCTGTGGAAGAAGGACAAGAAGAGGAAGCAACAGAGGATGAAATGTCAGAAGTTGCGGAACAAGGGCAAAGAGAGAAACCATCAGAGATTGTGCAATGGCTGCAAGGCTTGCTTGTAGCCGCAGACAGATATGATCTCCAACGGCTCACGTTTATCTGTGAAAGGCAGTTGTCCTTGCGCATAGGTGTGAGCTCGGTGGCGTCTACTCTTGCTCTAGCTGAGCAGCACCACTGCCGTCCATTGAAGGCGGCATGCTTGAAGTTTATCCAAGCCCAATCTCCGTCGTGTTTGCAAATAGTAATGGCGACCGATTGCTGGGAGCACTTATTACGACCTATCCCTTTGTTTTGAACGAGATCTTTGCCATGTTTGCTTTGAACCAGAAGTAACACTTCATATGGTATGCATGTTCCTTAGATCTGTATTGACACTTGTGCATATATGGGATCCTCTAGAGATCATAGCATGTCTGTCTTGCTTTTGTCTCGTCATTTAATTTGCCTATCTGCCGAATCGGACAAATCCAACATATGGGCAAATTGTCTCCTCATGGTCTGTAAATTCAGGTGTAAGCATCAACAATGATCTGTAATGACACTTGTGCGTATATGGGATTAATTCTCTAGAGATCGTAGTATGTCTGTCTTGCTTTTGTCTTGTCGTTTAATTTGCCTATGTAATGAATCGGACAAATCCAACATATGGGCAAATTGTCTCCTCATGGTCTGTAAATTTAGGTGTAAGCATCAATGTTGATCAGCATTGTAGCAATGTGCTAGTTCCCATCATAGTTTTAAATAGCCGGCTATAGCCCGCTATAGCCTTTTCAGCAGGGTGCCGCTAAATGACCGCCTTCACAAATAGCCCGCTATAGCTGATTTGAAGGCCCGTCGCTATTTTCCATATCCCGCTATTTAAAACATTGGTTCCCATGCTAGTCGTTTTATCCTACTATATTTCTGTGTGTTTTAGTTGTGTTGCATGTTGTTTGCTTTGTGCCTTCCCTGTCATGTAAAAATCTTTTTCCAGTTGTTACCAAGGAAAACATGTAAATCCTGCTCCAGTACTCAGGAACTTTCTCCTGGGTGATTTGTTGTTCTTCTTGGGTGGGAAGAAAGATTTTGCAAAAATGGGGAGAATTCCCAATGCACATCGTTGTCTATATATTGGTGTCAGTTTGCAAGAAAGCAGAGGATATGAATCATCACTCTACCTATTTGCAAATTATTAGCAAAGGAAATATTTGAAAGTCCTATTTGTAAATTATCAGCAAAGAAAATATGTGAAAGTGTGTGTGGCCTATTTTAACTTGAGGAAACTATGTGCTTTTTTGACTGCTTGTAACTTGTTGCTATTGGCACGGCGGATTTCAGCAGAAATGTATGTGGGGTTGAAATTCATGTTACAAAATAGTGTGCAAGGTAGGTCAACCTTTAGTGCATATTGGTTTCTGCATGCATCTGGCAATCAGGCAACAAGTTGCCTGCTTATCTTTTGGTTTATCTCAGCTACTACTACATGAATATTCAAATACTGCCAGCAATGTTATGTTCGATTGTGTAGAGCTTGTCTCGCACGCAACAAAGATATATAGTTTAGCGCGTCGGTCGACCTGTAGAACAGTAGAAAGAAATCTTATATGCAGGTATGGCATACCCTGACTTGCTAGACATCTACAGCACAAGGCACCAATATAACTCTGTTTTCAACCATCAGAAACAAAATATATGGCTGTCATTCAATCAGAAAATTACCTCTTGTATCGACTTAGCCATGTGTCTCTCACGGAGTGAATTGCAAAAAACCACCACATTTGGGGCATCGATTGCAGAAAACCACCTAGTCCCTAATTTTATGCAAAAATCACCGCGTTTCTAGTAAACTTTTTGCAAATTGCACTGATAAGGTGATTTAGCCTGATTGATTACTTTCTGACAAGTGGGGCCGGATTGTAAGGAGATGATTTGGTAAAAAATTGACATACAGCTCCCTGGATTTCACAAAGATACCCTTATTCAAAAAATGAAAAAGCAATCAGCCCCCTCCCCCACCCCCGTCGCCTTCCTCCTCTGAGGTGGTGGCTGTCCACGACGAGGCGGCCTCCCTCCTCCCTGGCCTTGCTCGTGGGCGGGGCGGCCTCCCTCCTCCATGGAGGAGGTTGGAGCTCGTGGGCGGGACGCTTAGGCCGCTCGACGCCCAGTAGCGTGGTGCCGGCCATGGCGCCGCCGTTCGCCGGAATCAGCACTAGCAGCACGAGCTCGGCTGCTCACGACCTTGAAGGCTGGTGGTGCCTCTAGTCTCCGAACAACGCCGGCGAGCAGGGAATGTGCTGTGTCGGGGCGTCACCATGGAGGAGGTCGAAGCTCGAGCTCCATTGTTGCATCACATGGTTGGATGCAGAGGCATCGTGCCCCAAGACGCCGCCGCTGCTCGCCAAGATGCCGCCACCGGCTCGATCTATAGAAGCCCAGCCACACAGAAGCGGGGGCATCGTGCGCTAGGACGCCGCCGCTCGCGGCTGCTGCTGCTGCTCGTCGTCACTCGAGCATCCCCGACCCAGCGTGAGCACGCCTCCTCCTGTGGCCCAGCGCGAGCACGCCTCCTTCTGTGGCCCAGCACGCCTCCGTCCGCCGTCAGCCCAGCACGTCGCTCCGGCGTCCCAGGCCAAGTAGCGCGGCGGAGGCCAGGAACCCGAAGCCCAGCGCGCCTCTGCGCAGGGGTGGGGGGCTGATTGTTGTTCTGTTTTAGATCAAGGGGTGTGTGTAAATTTTTTGCTCTTATAATCTGGCCCCACTTGTCGGAACATGGTTAAATGGGACAAATCACCGTATCAGCGGAATTTGCAAAAAGTTTACTAGAAACGCGGTGATTTTTGCACAAAATTAGGGACTAGGTGATTTTCTGCAATCGATGCCCCAAATGTGGTGGTTTTTTGCAATTCACTCGTCTCTCAGAAGAGACAACCTGCCATTTTACATAAAAATTAAAAATTAAAAATTTAAGAGACAACCTGCCATGCCAGAGTATCTTGGGAGTTTGGTTTCGGTCTTCAGTGCCGTTGGAGGCAGACCACACATGCCTCGAATAAGGTTATCTTTTTTTTAACATCAGTACAGACAAAAGTGCTCATATACACATGCATACACTCACCACTATGAACGCACACACGTAACCCTATTCTTATGAGCACCTCCGAAAGACTGAGCCGGCATATCATCTTGAGATTTACGGAGTCACCGTATGCGACTCGTTGTCGACGGGAACGTCTCCTCCCACGAAATGCGCATCGCCGGAAATCCTGAAATAAATCCAGGAATAAATGCGAGCACCAGGATTTGAACCCTGATGGGTTGGGGATACCACAGTCCCTCTAACCATCCAACCACAAGTTGGTTCACCGAATAAGGTTATCTAAGATGTTAACATCTTATACTATGCACTACGAAGGTAGTATCATACACTACAAGTAGTCTAACTGTACTGCATGCTATTAGCTGGATACATGCCACAAAATCATTTGTTTCCCGATGGAAAGGCATGCAATGCATTTCTATTTCTACATATACTTTAAGGGATTATTCAAGGGTATTTTAGTCTCAAGTTCTGGTCGATCGCGTGCCTTGTTGAAAAAATACATCTTACTAAAAGGACAAAGGGAGTAGAAAGAAAATTACGTCACAGTTTTTCCCATGGGGATTTTGAATCTAACTCTGATTATGATTATCAGTGGTCTTAAAATGAAATCAAATTCATTCATCAAGGCTCCATAAATACGACGATCGCAATTCCATTACAGTGAGGCTAACTTTAGCCATTAATTGATTTGAAAATGAAGGTATCTGGACCTCTTAGGAAAACAGAAGGCAGAGATCATTTGTCGATCTCTGAAAATACAAGGTGGATACTTTCTAATTGATTTACAAGGATAAAAGAAGGCCAGTCAAATTCTTTTGTTTCTTTGGGGCAAGTCAAACGAGTGAGGCATTTTGGAGCACAGGCTCCATGGAGCTCTTTTTTTGGGAAATTCAAAAAGTGTATTTCTGATCCTAAAAAAATGGAAATATCATCATATTCATATGGATGTGTTTATAAGTGTACAAATTTTTCATGATGTGATACATTGACATGTGAGCTACACAAAAAAGACAAATTCGTGGGTTTTTAATATTGAACAATGTGTGCACGTTCACCGTTTTCAAATCACAAGTTTATAATTTTGTTCATTATTGAAAAGTAAAAACCCACGAATTTGTCCCTTTTCTGTAGCTCTCTTAACGTGCGTTAAGTCGACTAGAGGGGGGTGAATAGGCGATTTTTATGAATTCTTCACTGAGGAATTTCAGGGTGAGGAAATTCCTAAGCAAAGTACTAATAGCAGCGGAATAAGTACTCAGGTATAAGCATCACAGAGCGATAGCATAGTCATCATGATGAAATGAAAGGCAAACATAGAGTACAGGAAGCGTAAACACAAGATAAATAGGCTGAATACAATGTGACTAAAGAAATAGGGTTGAGGAATTAGAGTAAGTCTTCAGTCAAAGTCTTCAAACAGTAATGATCAGGTTTATCAACACATGAATGAAGAAATGAAAGGGTTGAGGAAATAGAACCAGTAGGCTTGGTGAAGAGAATGATTTGGTCGACCAGTTCCAACTGTTGTGACAGTTGTACGTCTGGTTGGAGCGGCTGAGTATTTAAACTCGAGGACACACAGTCCCGGACACACAGTCCTCAACGTATTATCCTTGAGCTAAGATCACGCAGATCTCGCCCAACACTCGTAGTAAGTCTTCATAGGTGACTTCCAAACTTTCACAAGCTAGGTCACTCGGCGATCCACAATTCCTCTTGGATGCTCAGACCATGAAGCCTAACCGTCTGGAGGATACACAGTCATCAAAGGTAACAAGCGTCGGTTCCACGCAGGAACAATCTCTTC